TGTACTTGTCCCATACTTCCTATCTTTAACAATGAAAATTATACAGAAAATTATTACAAGCTTAAATTATGATAGTTAAACAAGAGTGAAATAAACAAAAACGATATAATTTTTTTATGGCTTCAATTTAAGTTTCAGTTTTGAACAATTTTGTACCTAATAATTTATTTTGAAGAGCTTGAGGTGAAATATGGAAATATGTTTTGAAATATGTTATGTATAAAGATAACAAGGATATATCATTTGTAAACAGATTTGATTTCGTTAAGTGTAATTTCCAGTCAAGCTGTAACTGTCAAATTATGCAAAAAGTGTATTTGTGTGTTTTTTAGCATATGAAAAAAAAAACCCTGCTAGTTGTGAATTAGCAACTAGAAAGACAAATGACCAATTTTTAATTCCAAAAATGTTCAAAAGTCATTTTAATCGGTGTAATTTTCACCACAGAATGCTACTGAGCACAATTTATTTCCGAGCGTGCCAGCCCCTATATAGCCAATAGTGTTTGCATTTAATTGATATATTTTAGAGATGTAAGGATAGATTGTGATTTCTATGCTGGGTACTTTTGTGCTCTGCCAGCAGAAAACAGCCGCTCATTTTGTTGGCTTGAGCTTGTTGCCAATTAAGAATGCTTAAATAATGACCTGCAGAGAGCTGTTGTCCTCCTAGGAGGCCCGTGCTGACGTGCTGACTTTTCACTCATCTCCAGTAAGGTCTGACGTCCTGTATTGGGTTACATGGTGAGCGCTGATCTACATTTAGCTGTGCTTGGCTGAAAATCTCTCGATGATCCTTGCAACAGCAGAAAATGGTTACTTCTAATAACACCATAGCAAACATTCATGTCTATTAATGGACAAGACCCAAGCTTCCCCACAGCCTTCACTGGTACTGTATTTCCCATAATGCTCTTGTGCACATATTAATAAAGCTGAAGTGCTTCTACCGGAGCTGTGCACCTCAGTGTCAGATCTAAGTTTGTGATTCTGTGATGCAATAAAGTGTAATTAATTTCTGATACAGGTACCAACTCCCCTGGATCCGTCCCGCACTGACACTCCAATAATATCATCACTAAACATCAACCCTTAAAGGAATATTCCAGGCTCAGTACAAGTTAAGCACAATCGACAGCATTTCTGAAATGATGTTACCATAAAAATTCATTTTGACTCGTCTCTTTTTTTCTCTGCGCTTACAATGGAAGTGAATCGGGACAGTTTTAGGATTTAAATGCATAAATGTGAAGCTTAAATGGAAGCATTTACATTATTACGTCTCCTAAAATGTTTGTATTATCTACGCTGTAAATATGTTTATGTCATACTTTTTACATTCATTTTGGGGTTGTAAAAAGTGAGTGACCTTTATGCCATTAAGTGAGTTTATGGGAAAACTGTACACAAAACAAATCATAAAAAAAAAAAACATCCTGTTAAAGTTACAGTAAAAGAACTGGCAGCTGGTTGCAAGAAATTCACCATAAAAATACTGTCACAACTTACAATCATGTGTTTCATTAAGTGATATAATGTTAATACATCTATTACTTTAACTAAAATCTCCCTTTTACCTTGACCATTTGCAGTAATGCTGAATATGTCTGTGATATATTCATATTCCTAAATTAATAGGCGGGCTAAACGGGAGACTCATGGTGAAATATGTGAGCTATTACTGAAACTTTCAAATGCCAAAGGCCACAGAAAAATGGATTCTTTTGTTGTAAATCTTTGCACCTGGGCATATTGTTGGGATACTCCTTATATTGCCCCTTCAAGCTCAAACAAACTAGAAGACAGGTAACAGCGCTTTTCCATACTTTACTGTGGGCCCATAAAAATCACCCAAAGAATTCCCATTAATAAGCCATTGTCATTATACAAATCAGCACCCCCCCAGTATTATGCAGTATTATTGTTAAATAAGTAAAGGGGTCATATGATCTTATTGTTGAATAAGTAAAGGTTAATAACAACAATAATAAACATTCAAACAAGGTTTAAACTAAAGTACAGTGGTGGCCAAAATTATTAGAACACTAGTATCTTCGCCAGCTAAAAATGGTTTTAATTCAGTTATTTCTATCTTTTGCTGTAGTGTGTCAGTAGGAAATATCAGTTTACATTTCCAAACATTAATTTTGCCATTAATTGTAATAATCCAGTGAGATTTTTGTTTGCACAAGGAGTCTGACAACAGCCAGTGCTGCACACAGAGATCTGATCTCATCATCATCATCATCATCATCCAGTCTGTCTGTGATTACATGAAGAAACAGAACAAACTGAGACAGACTAAATCCAGAAGAACTGTCAACATCTCCAAGATGCTTCATGAAACCATTTTTTAGCTGGTGAAAATACTAGTGTTCTAATCATTTTGGCCACCACTGTAGTTTGAAATATTTTCAAACTTCTTAACAAAATAAAGAAATAGTAAAAATAAATAAATAAATGTGAAATGTAATAACTGATATAATATGTATAAGATGTCTCTCTTGGTAAATGTGACACATCCATATATATGATATCATTTTATTCCATATGTTAGAATTAAAATATCTGGTAACACTTAATAATAAAATCTCATGTGTTAACATTAGTTAATGGATTACAGCTAACTCTGAGCAATATATTTTACAGCATTTATCAAAAATATTATTTAATAAAAAACAAATACAATTATTCATCGTTTTTTTCATGTTGCATTTACTAAAGTTAACATATAGCCTACTACTTTTAATTGTGAAAATATTGCCCTATAGTAAATTAAAAAATGAACATTAACTAAGATTAATAAATGTTATAGAAGTATTGATAGTTCATTAACTAATTTAGTTAACTAATGTTAACAAATGAATCCTGTAAATTGTTACCAAATGTTTAAAACGAAATGTGGGTGGTGATAGAGGATGAAATAGCCTACAATTTTTAGAATTTAAAAGTATACAATATACATTGACAAACATATGACAAATAAATACACACGTAATGTTAAATGACACAAATAGCATCATCCGAATCAGCTGCTTGTTTAATTGGATTGTAATATCATAGATTTACAGTACATTGAATCAAAATGTAGATAACCACTGATTACACTCCCAGTCTCCACCGCACATTCATCGAAGAGGAAAACACTTGCTGTAGTGCATCAAAAGCCTGTCATTTCTCGTACATTTAGAGATTTGCGAGTAAACAGTATATTATTGCTAGTGTTGGGAAGGTTACTTTGGAAATGTAATAGGTTACAGATTGCAAGTTACCCAATTTAAAATGTAACAAGTAGTGTAACTATTTCAGTTACTTTATTATTAATGTAACTGAATAAATTTGATTACTTTTTGTTTACTTTTCTACATTTCTAATGTTTTCAAGTGTTACTCATTTTCAAACATGTAAACCAGGCAGGGTTAACCTTACAGTAGCACTCAACACTGATTAGTCTCAGACTTTCAAATTTCATCACTATATTTAAGATTATAATCATTTAATTTAAAAGCACAGCCGCCACAAAATCAGACTTTAGCACCTCTTTTTACTTTGAGATCGTTCTGATATAGGCTAAATACAGATTTTAAATCATAACAAGATAGCTATAGTTTAATAGCTATGATACTGTTTTGAAATCAAATGCATAGTTGACAGGAAACACTGGCATCTAACTTCTTTTGTACAACTTTTTTGTAAATTCCGTATCAGTTACAAAATATTATTACTTGCCTATAAGGCCCTTAATGGGTTAGCTCCTGCGTACCTAACTAGAGTGAGGCCTAGAGTGAGCGGAGAGTGAGGCCTAGAGTGAGCGGAGAGTGAGGCCTAGAGTGAGCGGAGAGTGAGGCCTAGAGTGAGCGGAGAGTGAGGCCTAGAGTTCTGAGGCAGATTCGACGAATGAGCTTGCGGCAACCACATGTGACGACCCCGGGTTGAACTCCGCTTCATCCACGGTGAAAGCCGATCCGGCGATCCACACAATCATAACCCACTGTGGGCGTATGACTCGTGTGGCCTGAAACACGCGAGTCATACCTAGGTAAGTGCAGTTGATAATTTTATTTCAGTTAACTAGCCACGTAAAGGTTTATCGTTTTATTTTTGCATGTTTACTTAAAACTTGGAAGTTAAATAGGTCGTTTAGACACTCACTAACATGAACAATGTAAGCCAGCGGCTGCTGTTTAGAGTAGCCTATTTTGATTTAATATTGATCAATTCTTATGTTTATTTAATAAAGAATAATTATCCACGTGGATACCATACCACATTAAGATATTAGATTCAGAAACTCAGTGTAGTTTATGGGAGGAGTTCGCTGCCAGAAAGGTCTCAAAATTCACAAACAAATCCAAGGCGATTCACATTCACAGCCCATGATAAACTCGTGAATTTTTAACATTCAAACATTTTGTACACATTTGTACATCTGTGAATTGTGTTTTGCATTTGTGAAACGTATTTTATGAATATATATTCTTATTTTGTGCATGTGAATTGGTTTTTGTGAATATATATATTTTTTGTGCACGTGAAGTATTTCTTATGCATGTGAATTGGGTTACGCATGTGTGCATCACGGCGGCAACAATACTACAGGGAGAATAAAAGTTACGCCTTCTTTCTTTGCGTGAACATTTGGGCGGCGTTATGCAAATCTTCCCACATCGTGACGT